TGCCCAAAAGAGCTAGAGCCGAACAGCAACGGCACGGCCGAGACCCCATTTGAGGTGCAGCTTTCGCCATATGTCACAACTGTCGAGGACTATCACTGTTTCGAACAAAACAACCACTAGGTGATCGCTGAAAACAGAGAAGTCACATGAAAGTGCAAAAAAGGAGCGCAGGGTGCTGAAGCAAGGTGCAGCGAACTGCAACGACAAAACAACACATGCCGACCGACCTTCCCATAACATAACTGTTTTGTCAGCGCGCCGAGTCTTTACAGTGCTTTCCAAGACTCAACATGAACAAAAGTACAACAGCTCGTGCAGGATGTGTGCCTACCTTCCTATAACATAACACGTGCCGACTTTCCTGCCAACATGCCAGTCACCGTATCTTTTTGCTATGACGCCTGCCTTCTGCGTGCCTCAAATCCCTGACAGCAATACTCCAAACTGGCAACGGCGGTCAGAAAAGACACGCCTCTTGAGTCAGGCAAGGGAATGTAGCCAGCATCTCTGATAGTGGCTTTGCGCGGCACGCATGGCGGCGGCTAGACAGCACGGACAGATGGTAACCGAGCAGCAGCAGCATGCCGGGATGACAACGGCGGTCAGAAACGACGCACCGCTGAATTCAGCGAAGAGCTTCACTCGGCAGTATAGCTTGGAGATGCGAGCATATTGCGGACACATTGCACCTTGCTATTTGGTGTCTGCTGCGTAAACTCTTCAGGTGGCACACGCTTTCGTGAGTTGCCCATGTCCATGTCTTGTCTTTGCCACTGTAGCCTCTCTTGCCACGCTTGCGCGTCGACGTTGGAAGAGTGCTGCAGCACTTGCCAGGCTTCAATATTTCCCTTTGCTACAACAGGCCTGGCAATGATTCGAAAGGTCGCATTTGGAAGCAACTCTCTGCCCAAGTCAAGCAATGCAGTAGTCGAAACCAGCCATGACAATGTCATCTTCGGACGTGACTCGCTGCCAAGATCCGTACAGCGTAAAGATCCGCACCAAGTGCTGGATCGGGGACAGGATCTCTTCCTCGAAGAAAGTCAGGGCATCGATCTCCGGGAGAGTCTCTCCCGGATCTGCGTGGTTGGCCGCCGTCAAGCGGAACGGCTCCTTGGGCAACATCGCCTTGGCACGTTCCTTGGCTTCGTGCAAGCAGTTCTCACAGATTGGCTTGCCGGCTTCCAGCCAATCGGCCTCAGGTGCCCGACAGAAGTTGGTCTTCTGAAACGCTTGGGTCTCGAAGCCTCCGGGCAGGCCACTCTTGCCTTTGCCTGCGGCAATGCCGAACCAGCCTTCCTTGCAGTAATGGCAGTCCTGAAACTCCATGCTCAGCATGTAGGAGTCCACCTCATGCACACGGTGGAAAAACGGCATTATGCGGGCTTCGGCGTCCATGCTGTTGCCGTACAACTGCCGTAAGCTCTTTGGCAGCCGAGGCCGCGGCAAGTGGTCCCCTAAAACTGTCTCACTGGCGTGCAGCTTTGGCTCATGCCATGCCTTTAATGGCATGTGTTCCACTTCGATGAGAAGCGGCTGCAGCGCCCTGCGAACACGCTCTTGGTCCACCAGGGACAGATGGCACCAAGTTCTCCGGAGGAAATCATAGCCGAAGCGAAAATCATCATCGGCTTTCTTGCCATGGCCGCTGAACAGCTCCTCGGCACAAGTAGCTCGCAGTGCCTGCAGCTCGGCCTTTCTTTGCTGAAGCATAGTCAAAAACTTTTCGACCAGAGCGGTTTCGGAGACACACAAGTCACGCTCCCAGCCTTGCACGAGTGCTTCTTGCTCCGGCGACAGATGCTGTCTGTATCTTTTGAGAAACATAGCACAAAAGGAAGAGCTTACATCAGCTCCCTGGTCAAGGCTTTGCAATGCCTTCACCAGGGAGCTCTTTTCTTGAGCTCGCAGCACGGCAGAGTAAGCTTGGACAAAAGCACTCAGCCTTGCAAAGCTTCGTTGAAGGCCGGCCAGAAAAGGCGCAGCCTCCAACTTGGACTTGTCACAAAGCACAAACTCCCAGTCTTCTAAATGCTCTTTCTGGTCGGCATTCAACAATGCCACGTGCCTGTCGAAGAAATTCTTAGCTTGCTTCCAACGTGTGTCGGAATTCGCGCGGTTGCTGCTGACAACAGCTGACAAGCTTTGCTTCTGTAGCTGAGCAATTTCAACAGCATTCTGAGCGAAGAAGGCTTGCACTTCGACAAAGGCAGGAGCACGACGCGATGCTGCAGCTTCTTTTGCCGCAGCACTCACTTGACACAACTCAGCTTCCTTTGCAAGCAAAAAATCCTTTTCCGCAGACGCCAAGCGGTCGCTATAGCGCAGCAGGAAAACACGGCAAAAGCTCGACATTTGAAATTCCTGCATGTGTCGACTCTGCAAAGCTGCCAGCAAGCTTGGCTTGCTTGAGTATCTTATCGCCTCTGCCGTCTCTGTCAAAAATGCCTCCACGCGGCAAAAACAGCATTGAAGGCCGGCCAGAAAAGGCGCAGCCTCCAACGTGGACTTGTCACAAAGCACAAACTCCCAGTCTTCCAAAATCTGCTGCTGAGCTGGCTCCAAGCTTGAAAGTTTTCGTCTGCAGAAATTTCTGGCTCGCTCCCACTCTGGTACCTGACTGCGCCGCTTGCTGTTGAGCAAAGCTGTAAGCGTCGGCTTCTTCATTTGCACAAGCTCCTGCGAGTAGGCTGCCAAAAACGCCACCGTCTTATCAAATGCGTCTGCCATGGCGTCCGGAGCGGTCAGAAAAGACGCGCTCCACCGTGCGGGATACACAAGGAAACGATGTCACTGGCATGTGTCTGTGGAAGTATATGCGTTCTGTGGGAACACAAACTAAAAAAAAAACATCAAGAGGTTGTCCGCCTGAGCGTGATGCTGGTAGGTCGGCTGGTGACAAACAACAAACTAGAACATTAACATGTTCTCGGCCTGTGTGTGGTGCTGGTGGGAGTGCTGGTGAAAGTGTAGTGGTGGTAGTGGTGGTGGTGATGTGAGTTGCCGCTCCGCGATTGAAGCCGGGACATGAACAAACATGAACAGTGGTGGTGGTGATGCTAGTGATGCTGGTGACGAAAACCGGGACATTGAACAAACATGACATACGCGGAGCAACTGACAAGACAGAGCCGAAACGCCACACGGTCACAGCGACATTACCTCCCTATCTATCTATCTATCTGTCTATCTACCTATCTATCTGCCTGTCTACCTCTCTATCTATCTGTCTACTTGTCTCTCTATCTTTCCAGCTTTCTATCTATCTATCTATCTATCTATCTGTCTGTCTGTCTATCTATCTAGAGCGCGACTAACTCAACAGGGCAGCGTAGGATGCCTTGCGCGTTGCCATTCCAATGCGTTTTACCACTGCCAAGCTGCATTCCATCTTAGAAATGCGCACCGCGCGCAAGCGCCACGCATTTTTTCCAAATTGGATGAAAGCCTTGCGCGTTGCCATTCCAATGTGTTTTACCACTGTCAAGCTACATTGCATCTTAAAAAACGCGCACCGCGCGCAGGCGCCACGCATTTTTCCAAGTTAGATAAAAGCCTTGCGCGTTGCCATTCCAATGCGTTTTACCGCTGTCAAGCTACATTGCATCTTAAAAACGCGCACCGCGCGCAGGCCGCGTGCGATTTTTGAAAGTTGGAGCTTCCAAAAGTAGCCCGACCCTCTCAGGTTTTTACGATTTTGACTTCCAAATGTGCACCGCGCGCAGGCCGCGTGCGATTTTTGAAAGTTGGAGCTTCCAAAAGTAGCCCGAGCATGTAGTGTTTTTACGATTTTGACTTCCAAATGTGCACCGCGCGCAGGCCGCGTGCGATTTTTTGCCAGCAATTCCGACCAAAGGCTCCGCACCCGCCGCTTTACCGAAGTAACTTCTGGGCCGTCTGGAGGCTCAAAACATTGAAAAATACAGCATTTCGCGACCTTTCTAACATTTCGCACACCATGCTTCATCTTTCTTCATCGCTTCTTCATCTTTCTTCATCGCTTCTTCATCTCTTCTTCTCTCTCTCTCTCTCTATCTCTCGCTCTGCACTGCTCTGCTTGAGTTGTCGATATTGTCGGAAGTTAGACTTCTAAACTTCCTTCGAAAAGGAAGACAGCCATTGCGAGTCTCCTTATTTGACACATACTCATCAAGTGTACTGGCAAGGGAACCACTTTTTCAAGCCTGAAAGGAACATGGAACATGCGATTTGGCTTCCCTGGTATCTGGAGACTGCGATTTGGCTTCCCTGTTGTTTTGTCTTTTGGGGGCTCTACAGGTGAGCCACTTCAGGAAGTCTGTAAGCAAATTCCGTGAAGCTTGGGGACGGGAAGAGGGGCGCGCACTGCCTTCCCTTGAACTCTTTTCATGGCAACTGTTTGTTTTGCTCTTCCAACATTTGTCCAGCTGCTGTTCTTGGTCCTCCATATGATGTTTCTTGGTGTTTCATATGATGTCCACCAAAAGTTGTTCCTCCATATGACTGAGTTAAACCTGTCCAGCACCTGATGTTTCTTGGTCCTCCATATGATGTCAGGGTCCTCCATATGATGTGTTTCAAGGTCCGCGACTGAGCTTTTTCACCTGTCCCCGGGTTTTGGGATGAAGTGAGGGTCCTCCATATGATGTTTCTTGGTCCTCCATATGATGTTTCTGGGTCCTCCATATGATGTTTCTTGGTCCTCCATATGATGTTTCTGGGTCCCCCATATGATGTTTCTGGGTCCTCCATATGATGTTTCTTGGTCCTCCATATGATGTTTCTGGGTCCTCCATATGATGTTTCTTGCTCCTCCATATGATGTTTCTGGGTCCTCCATATGATGTTTCTTGGTCCTCCATATGATGTTTCTTGCTTTTCTATATGATGTTTCTTGGTTTTTTATATGATGTTTCTTGCTCCTCCATATGATGTTTCTTGGTCCTCCATATTGTTTCTTTTCCTTTTGCATATGAATGTCCACTCCCGCGTTGTTTTTTCTTTTTTCGGATGGTCGTGAGGTGCACTTCCGCGCCATGGTCTTCATCAAGTTCCTGGGGCTTCTCGCCTTGGCCTCCCTGCTGGCGGTGGAGTGGGTCTCGGAGGAGTCGGCGTCGGAGAGTCGGAGTCGGGGGAGCCGTGTGGTCCTTCTGGGGTCCCCCAGTGCCCCAAGTTGGACAGGGTTCCTTAAAAGATCTCCATGTTGCAACCATCTAAAACATGGCTTTTCCACCAAAATGAAGTTGGAAACCACCATTTACAAGGCAATGTTCAGGTGTATAATGTAAGGACGACATGGATACATGGAAGGTTTAGGCAATACACCATACTCAGCATGTCTTTAAATAGACTAGGTCCCCCAGCAATTGGTGCCCTGTCTCACCCCTTCTTTTTTTGGTTGGGAGGGTTCTTTCTTATTCCACTAAAATAGGCTACAGAAAAAAATGGTAGCGACCTAGTGGGTGTTGTGTTGTTGGTTTTGTTCGAGCCGGTTTTTAGCGGCTGATCGATTCGTTTTGTCTTACCCAGTCGTTGCGGGGTGTTGGCGCCCTTTGCGACAAGCTCCAGGAAGCCGGCAGGGGTCAGGTGTTTTGTGTTCCATCCAGGTTGGAAGCGCTTTTGGAGCAGGTTCCTCGACACCGAGCAGATCAGCCCGAAAATTTGATTTTCCCGAGATAAGACGAGAGTTACAAAACAGCTTGCTCACGCACATTTTGACATGGTTTTGCTGTTGTCCTTCCTTTTCCTTGAAACATCGTCCAGCACGATGACGAAGTTTGTTGCTGAGTTGCATCCGGAGTGCGTCAGACAATGATTATTCTAGGAAGGTTTGCTATATTGGTATGAATTTAAACGGCTGCCTTTAATGATTTGAGGGGGTGATGCCCATGGATTTGAGGAGGGTGTTGTTCCTGGAAATTCATGGCCATGGTCCTTCGCGATGTTTTCATGGCACGCTCAACATGCACCAGAGTTGTCTACTGTATGGCGTGCGTATCGAGGGATCGAGGGTACATCAAGCGGTAAGCATTCGGTGTTCCTTCAACCAGACCCATCCGACAGAGTTGAGTCAAGCGCCATGCCATTTCATGGCATCGAGCACCGAAGGACCCAGGGACTGGTGAGCCCTGCATGCGTTTTGCTTGAATATGTGTCTCTGAAGAAACAAATCCACCAAGGAGTCTTGAATGGTGCACGAATGCCAATGGGCGGACCCGCGGGATTTCTGATTTGGGAATGCTCGTTCTCTTGAGTTGCCTGGTGGACGTCATCTCTGTTAAACCTACAAAAGGTTCGACCTTTTACCGAAGGGGCAAGAGCAACCCGCTATGAGGCCGTTCTTTCCATAGGATTCGCCCTCGTTGAAAGGGGTTTGGAGTTGTGACAACTCTCCAAGGCTCCATGTGCACCCGCGTAGCTTCTCATGCGAACGCTGTTTTGTTCTCCGTGGTCTGGTTTCAGTGGGGAACACCCCCATATCAATACACAGGGGTTGATTACTCCGGGGTCAACATCAAGTCAGATACGGATCCTCCTGGACATTTGGAACCCCCGTCACATCCTCCATCATCTCAACTGCCGGATGTGGTCTACCACATGAGAGGTGCGGACCAGAGAGGCGGAGCGCGTGACTGAGCTGTCCGGCCTGGGTGAGGACTTTTCTTTTTTCAGGGGTGTCCTAACAGGTTTATGTAGGGAGAAGACGGAACAGAATCAGAGGGTATGTTCAAGGTATGCCCTCAAGGAAACCTCGGCCCAGACTGCGCGGCTTTGATGTTTCGGGGACCATCGATGGGCCACTTTGCGGGTCCGATCGACGGACTTTGGCCCTGGAACTCAGGCGCTTGGACTCAAAAGAGGGCTTTTTCAGCTGGTGGTTCTTGCTTGGGTTTTCTCACTTCCTGAGTTCATGAGCTTTAAACTTTTTGGGAAGACCATTTCTGTGGTAAATATATATTTGGACTTTTTGGGCCATCCACTCAGCAAGCGAGTCTTGCGACAAACCAAGAAAAACCAGGCATCCAACAAGGACAAGCCCATTCAGAGCAGGACGCATTCTATGGATTTGCACGTGTCCCTCCCCCTTTTAAGCCCCGTCTGGTCTTCTGTTGGTCTCCCGTGAACCCCCAAACGCGCAGGCATGGTGAGCGGTTCTTGCGCAGGGTGATCCAAACTCTTCCTAGCGCTTCGAGGTGCCGTTTTCTTGTAGGCAACCCTTTCTTTGGATTTGTTTACCTCTAGGTGTTACACGATTCCCCTTGGCAGGTGCTATGCCTTGATTTGCCAACCTTGAACGAAAAACAGTGATCAATTGTGTGCAGATTTGCAACGTGCGCGGAAGGTTTGCGGAAGGGCGGAAGGGCGGTTTCAGGGGAAGTCAGTTTGCACAACCCCCATACGACTTCCACAGCTTGCGTTTTTGCTTTTCTTTCAAATCCAAGGTGTTTGAAGACACCTCGGGGTACGAGAAAGCAGATCGTGGAATACTACGCATAGTGGGATCGAAAAACAAGGCCATGTTTTCCCCAAAATCGCCGGGGCAGGGATCCCAAAACAGGGCGGTCGCAGCATCGCTACCAGATGATTGGGAGGTTCCGGATCCTCTGGCGCCTCTTGCAGGCGTTTTGTCCGACTTGCGGACCGTTTGGGGAACTCGCGACAGCCGCAGGACGTGCAATTGTACGACCTGGTTCTGACCAGCAGCGCGCGGTTCCTCGTGCTCACCGGGGATGCAACTCAGCGGCGTTTATCCGCCCGTCCTGGAATTTCCTGCACATTGGTGAACATATTCTATAACCCACGACCCGAATGGTTTATGTTAATGGCATGTGCATGTTGAAGGCTCTGTGCCCGTTTTGTGGGCGTGACCCATATTCCACGAGGGCCAACCCGTTGTGTTTTGTCATATGGGTCTGCATGTGATCGTTTGAGGGTTACCTGCCCATTTTCTGCAACCAAAAGTGGGTGTCAGGCGTTCCATAGAGCTTCGGTCGACGTTTCTGGAAGTCTATGCGTGGCTTAGTTGGGATGGACATAAGGCGGCTCTAATTTTCTTGTATTGCCTTGCGGGAAGCAAGTAATCACGCCGGCCCACATATTGTCAGGGGAACCCACAACCCGCATGTTGTTTCTATGGGCACATCCTTGAATTTGGTGTTAGTTGGAGGGTACCCTGTCTTCTTTTCGTGGCTGTTTCAAAGGGAAGTGGTCGTTTTAAAGGGGTTGCGGGCAGTGGAACCTGTCCAACCTAAAGGTTTTGAACACTTCAGCTGGACAACCAGTGATGCCGAAAATTTCAAAAGCCACGAGCACCCAAGAGGGGTGCATGGAACTTCCTAAAAGTGGGTTTGGGTTCATGGGTTCATGGGTTTTGTGGTCGACTCCATTCTCTGCAAAGATGGGTGGCAGGGCTGAAACCCTACCGACTTACAAACATGAACCCCTCCCCCCCTAGGATTGCAGGAGGTCCCTGAACGGAACCAATTCCCAGGTCGGTTTCCCTGCAAAGGCCCAGCCCTTTTGTGGGAAGTTTGACACACCAGTTTTCCATGGGAATTACTTTCCTTTCTGAGTCAATTGAGAATTCATACCAACTAACAAACGGACGGCTATTTGGAGATATTGAGCGGGGGGGGGGGGAGGGGGGGTTAAGCCACAAAGGTCCGGGTCCTATGCGAAGTAACATGAGGTTTAACCAGTACCCTGGGCTTCAGTTACCACCATCAAAACAATGGTTGGGTTCATATAACCACCATCCTTTACCTAAGGATTCTTATGAGTCATGAGGTTGTTTAAACAGTACCCTGGGGTTAACCACCATGGGGTTAACCACCATTGTTTACCTAAGGGTTCTTATCCAGTTTGGGTCCCAAGGTCATGCTTTCAATGGTGGCTGAACCCTAGGGAGGTGTCCCCTGCGCTTTTTGCGCCAGATCTCTCCCAGGTGACGCACCGGGATATGTACTGGTCCAAGGTGGAGCCTTTGGAGGCAGATCACGGATCACGGGGGACCCGTTCCGTGGGCTCCAGGGGAAGAACCAAAAACGGGTCCTCTTGGGAAACATTTCCCTCCAAAACACCTGGGGTTTTTCAACTGAGAAACCTTCCAAAACCTAGGGTTGGGCTCTCATGGTGGTAGTTATCCCCACAACACCCCGCCCCCTCTTGCACTCAACCACTTCAGAGCCTATTCCTTCAGAGCCTATTTGGGCAGAGACACCAAAGCTTTTTGCTTTTGGGAAAAAATGGATGGATAGAGCCGATTCGCATTGGTACCGCGTGACTCAGTTCCAAAAGAGTCCCGGGAACAAACAGTACTGTTACTCTTGTTTTGAAGGGAATTGGGCACTATGGTTCTGGAGTTGAAAGGTTGGAGTTGATGACCTTGAGGAGTTGATGGCCTATAGTTCTGCACTATGGACGGAGTTGATGGCCTTGTGAGGGCCCTCAAGGGGGTTGTGACCCTCAACCTAAAAATCGCCAAGAGCAGCTGCATGTGGATGTTTGGAGTTGATCTTCGGAGTTTCTCTTTTCCGGGAAGCGAATCTTGTTCCGACGCAAAACCTTCCGCTGGGGATTGAGCCATCCATGGGCCACAAACCTTTCAGAGCCAAGGGCTCTGACGACTCCGAATTGTTCACTAAGAACAGAACCCAGTGATTTCAGTTGCCTGTCTTTTTTTGGGTAACCAAGGGAACCCTTTACGCAAAACAAACATGGCTGGTTGCCAAGTATAGGATCCACTCGGTTTGATATATATATATATACATATATGTGTTCATCGTTTTCCAATAATTTTGAAAGTGGACAGCAGGCTTCCCCAAAAGGGAGGTAGTCTTCCCAACAACTCATGTCAGCTTCCACGATTGTTGGTAAACCTTGGACATAGAGCGTAACGCAGAATGAACATGAATGAAATTCACACTTCAAAACGGCATGTGTTGAGAGGCAACCAACTTCCACGGGTCCCAAACTGCCCTATGGAGGGTCCTTGCGGAGTAGCCAGCATGTAAAACCTTGTAAGAATCAACTGCCCCTTCAATAAAGGGTCTTTGCGGATGCGTAGCCAAGCATGTATGTAATGCTTCCATTTGCTTCATTTGTTTTTATCTTATTTGTATTCTCCCTTTTTGGTTTTTAAAGGGAACCTATCACTACCGGACATAGTTTATTTCCACGTTTCTTAAGCAAGTGGAAGCAGCTAAGCAGCACCTCCAGAAAGACTCCCCGACTTTTTCTCCCGCGAACCGAACCGAGCGAAAGCTCCCCGAACGCGTCGCTCAGCACGCCCTGAACGAGATCAAGTTGAAGGCGCCCGAGATCTCGGCGGAGCTTCTCGGCCTGAAGCCATGAGAGGAGTTGAGCCACCCGGGCCCCAAAGAAGAGCTGACCCTCGCTCCCACCTTGCCAATGCGCCCGCCCTTTTTTTTCAGTCCCCGGAATCGCCAGGAAAAAAGAGCAAATAGGTCCAGTGGTGAAATCGATTCCCTTTAAACCCAACCCTTTCCTTCTGAAACAACTGGACGCGTGGCAGCTGACAGAGGATCCTTCCCAGAGGAAACTGATCTTTCAGGCACCCTCCCACAGGTGCCATGTTGGGAGGCAGGGAGGGTAAGCCATCAGGTTGCCAGGCCCGAAGGGAAACCCAATTTTGGTTTTTGTCTTTCTCGCCCATTTTGAAAGACCCCTTTGATTCTCACAGACCTTTTGTGTTGGCTCGACAACATATGGAACAGAATCGGGCATTGCTAGTGTTTGTGCTTCTTGGCGTCAGACAAGATGTTACCCTGGTTTATAGTACAGGCTAGTGTAAAAGCGCATCACTTTGCATATACACTCACATCACGTCCATGTACATGTATACTTTACCGCCTTCAGCTCCAGTCCACCGACATTACGGGCCTGCTTTCTTATATGTGTCGTATTTTTCCCTGCGGAATGTTCCCGTTGCAAGCTTTCCTGTGTAGAATTGTCCGATTGGATCAAACACAAGGAACTATACCAGAGGGACAATTCCAATGGGAGTGTTCCACCGGGAGACTTAGGGAGAGTTTCAAAGGGAAAATCCAAAGGGAAAAGTCCAACGGGAGAATTGCAGGGGGACATTTCCGATGCGCAAAATAGAAGAGAACTCCAAATGTAACAAATTCAATGGGATAATTCCAAAGGGATAATTCCAAAGGGAGAATTCCAATGGGATAACTCCAATGAAAATCCAAAGAGAAATTGCAAAGTCCAAAGAGGACATTGCACTCGGAGGAAATTCCGGAGAGCTCCGTTAGGATAATTCCAAAGAGAGAATTCCAAGGGAAGGAATCCAAAAGGCAACATTCCAAAAGGAAATTTCCGATGGGAGAACCATTCTGATAGTGCTGATAATGCTTGTGATGCTTGTGATGCTGGTGATGCTGGTGATTGTGAGGATGCGCTTGGGAGGAATCAAACACCAAGGTTTTATACAATCGCTTCCTGCCCCCTCGTATGAAAGGGAACTTCTTGGAATCACGTCCAACTCCGGATTCGGACAATGGAACATGGTAACGAGCATTCCTTGTGTCCAACACGCCGTTTGTCTGCGGGTAATTATATGTATAAGACGTATAACCGAGGGTCAATAGATTCAATAGTTGTGATCTGCTGTCAAGGGAACAGCATTGGTTGCGCAGGAACTGAATAGGGAGAAGCAGCAATTGGTCTCACCAGCTTCTTTTCATGGCGCAATGAATATGTGACTGTGCATTCCTCAGCCCTGGATCGATGATTCAATTCCTTCAAGTTCGATTCCCCAAGAGTTGGAACCCCCCCGCCCAAAATCCAATTTTCTTTGTGCTGCGACGTCAACCCCTGACTACAAAAGGAGCCATCCACCCTGGGATTTCGAACATCGACCCTAGGGCGGGTATTTGGGAAGGTTCCCATGGCTTGCCATGCTCCTGGTGGTTTTAGGGTTGGAGAATCCTTGGCAACGCGTCACAGAGGTGATGTCCCACATGGCATCCAGTGTCCCATTCTCCTTGCTTCCATTTGCTTACTGTAGTTTTTGTTTTTTTGTTTCCCCTGTTGGGAATCTATTACTACTGGAAACATTTGTATTTTTCCCAAGGGGCGAAAAAGCAAATGGAGGCTTGGAGGAGGTCCGAGACCTGGCGCTGGCCTTCGTTCCGTGGACATAGGTCAAAGCGGGGAGTCGTTTTCTGGCTCGCTGAGGTTTGACGGGTTGACGGTGGAGGCCAATGACAAGCTCATTGCGCTGGAGGACGTGCACTTGCCATGGAGTTTTCGGTCAACGACTCCATTTGTGTGGTCTCCTTCAATACTGGTGTGGTCTGAACATATGGCCATGAGTCAAACTCCCGTACCCCCAGTGCACATCCCAATCCCTAATTACTAAAATAGGTTCTAAAATGGGTGGTGCACCTAGACAACCACAGCCATATAAAGTTTCTGTCCCCAGATGCGGCCAACACTTGGGAAGGACTTGTCTATTCTTTGGAGAGGACGATCAACTCACATATAGATCCCAATTGAGCAAAACGTTGCCTAAGTTCAATACAGTTAAAGTGTTTGAGTCCACTTGCGATAAGAAAGTCATTAGTCGGAATGTTTATAATCATGACAGGACAGGTAAATACATAGATAGCAAGGGGCCACGTTTTCCGCTGACAGGAATTTTGTCCCGGGGTCATACGGGTATGGCGTTTTTGAGGGTGCCCCATGTGTACACTGTCAAGCAGCACCCAACAACTCTGTAGGCCAGGTTTTTCTCAAAACAAGCCCTTGCTGAGAGAGTTGTTGTGCCTGTTTTTCTGAACCCTGAAAACAACTACCTGTTCAGAAGTCGTGGAGAGTATGTCAAGCCATTTTCCTGCGCACGCCTTTCGAGGATTTGTCCGGCTCCAATCTGCGGGTCGTGTGTTTTTTTTGCTTAGCCCTGGTTGGCCCCAACCCTGGTTGGCAACCAGGGTTGGTTGGTTAGTTGGTTGGTTGGTTAGGTTGGTTTGGGTTGGGTTGGTTGGTTGGGTTGGTTGGTTTGGTTTGTTGGTTGGTTGGTTGGTTGGTTGGTTGGTTGGTTGGTTGGTTGGCCCCAACCCTGGTTGGTTGGTTGGTTGGTTGGTTGGTTGGTTGGTTGGGTTGGGTTGGGTTGGTTTGGTTTGGGTTGGTTGGGTTGGTTGGTTGGTTGGTTGGTTGGTTGGTTGGTTGGTTCGTTGGTTGGTTGGTTGGTTGGTGGGTTGGTTGGGTTGGTTGGTTGGGTTGGTTGATTGGTTGGTTGGCTGGCTGGCTGGTTGGTTGGTTGCTCTGCGTCTTTGGCTCTTTCCTTTGCGACGCACTGGCACGTTCCAGGTCTCGTTGACCAGTTTGGGCGCGCAACCAACACACTCGCTCCGCTGCCACGGGCAAGCGGCAGGTCGTGGCGCGAAGCTGGGGCGGAGCTGGGGCGAAGCCGGAGCTGGACGCTCGAGGCAGCATATTTCCGAGGCTTGGAATATTTGCGCGGGCTTCCTTCCGTGGTTTGAGTCGGCACTGGCACGTTCCAAGTATTGATGACCAGTTTGGACGCGCAACCAACACACTCGCTCCGCTACCACTGGCTAGCGCCAGGTCGTGGCGCAGTCACCACACTCGCTCCGCTACTATGGGCAAAGTTTGGGCAAAGTTACTCTCTGCGTCTTTGGCTCTTTCCTTTGCTACGCACTGGCACGTTCCAGCGAGTGTGGTGACTGCGCCACGACCTGGCGCTAGCCAGTGGTAGCGGAGCGAGTGTGTTGGTTGCGCGTCCAAACTGGTCATCAATACTTGGAACGTGCCAGTGCCGACTCAAACCACGGAAGGAAGCCCGCGCAAATACTCAAGCCTCGGATTTATGCTGCCTCGAGCGTCCAGCTCCGGCTTCGCCCCAGCTCCGCCCCAGCTTCGCGCCACGACCTGCCGCTTGCCCGTGGCAGCGGAGCGAGTGTGTTGGTTGCGCGCCCAAACTGGTCAACGAGACCTGGAACGTGCCAGTGCGTCGCAAAGGAAAGAGCCAAAGACGCAGAGTAAAACTTTGCCCATAGTGCCAGTGCCTGGAACCAGGGTTAGCCAAAAACCAGGGCTAGTCAAAAAAAACACCCCAACCCCAATCTGCACCGAAGATGGTAGGTGTTTTTTAGTTTTCCCTGCAGACTTTGCGCGTGTTGTTTTTTGAACGTACGTTTTTTACGTTCTGCATAACATGAAACCAACGGGAACCGAACGCAACCCATCTTGGGGGTTCCACAAAGGGACACATATGAAAAAAAACAGTTGTACGCATATATATATATATATACATAAACACACATATGTATATAAACATATTTGTATACATGTATAGACGCCGCCCACTTGGCGTGGTTTTCACTTCGTGGACGCCCATCTTCAAGGTAAGGCCATGCTGAATCCACAGGACCAGGCCTTCCAGTTGGCTTCCAGCGGCAACCTCTCCGCTGCCCGCGAGCTCATGTTCGGTGCGGAGTACAAGAGCAACAAGGACTCCCGGGGTGGAGGTTTGGTTTGGGGGATGAGCCAGCTTCCTTCCAAGCATTTTTGGTGCAAAAAGGCTTGCTTTCTTGAAGCTTCTTGCGAAACAGCGTGTTTGCCAAAGGAACCTCCTGCCAGTAGTCACACGCTTGTCTCATGGGCTGATGCCCCAGAAACTGGTGGGTGGTTCCCCGAGGCTTGGGGATAGCTTTTCTGGAATGGGGACATGTTCCTGAAGGTTGGAGCCTTGCGCCCAGCTGTGAGCCAGCAAGTGAAATTCGGGTTGCGGTTGAGCTTGGGGATGCCAGAAACGGCTTGGTACCAGCCAGCAAGGTTGGAGAGGAGGTTCTGCGACCCGTCGTGGGTCGAGATCGCCAGCCACGACCTCAAAGAATATCCAGCCCGCGTTTGGTTGCGGAGAATGAGGAATCCCTCCTGGCTTCCGGTGCCCTGCCAAAGGCTTCTCCGCAAGCTCCAGGTGTCCGGTGCGATCCGTCAGGATCATCTGCTGCATGGTCTGAGTGTTTTGGATGGCCTTCTGGAAGAGTCTCGCCGCTTGGCATCGGTGAAGCACATGCCGCTCGCTTGAGGAGTTCCTGCATTCCATGGGTCCAAGAATTTAATCACGTAGCCTGGGACGACAAGCGCTCTTGGCAGATGAGTGTCCTAGGGTCCAGTCCAAAGCAAGCCCCATCACCCTAGTGATGCGCAACAAATGGGGTGGTTTCAAAGAAAAATCAAGGAGAAACAATGAACGCACGCCTTTACCTGATGGCTGTCAACATCTTTGGGAACGTGCACAAGCATTGCATGAGTTCTTCTTAATTATTGTGGCCCTGACCCACATGTCATAGGGAGTTCAGCCGATGGCACACTTCAATCTGTTACTCAACTGCCAATGAAAACCACTTGCGAGGATCGTTGGTTTTTGCGCCATGTTGAAGAACAACAGTGGGGCGCACCCACAACTAGCATAAACCCCCAAAATGGCCGCGTTTTGCCTTTCCCTTTTACGCCTAGACAGGTGAATTCCCCCCCCCCCCCGGCCACCCCCTCACACCAGTTCTTCGGCGGCGTTTTCAGTGGGGTCGTTCTTTAGCTCAGGGCAGAGCCAGCGGCGGACGCAAGAATGGTGGACCTACTTGAGCACTGTATTGGTCTTGGTGGCCTTCTGCTCCGAGGCAAAGGGAACTTGGGAACTTTGCGCCTGGTTGAAAGCCCTCAATTTGGTTTTTCATGAAAACCAACGGGAGAGACCAAATGGAAACGAGGTGCTTTGAGAGGTTGCCCAAGCTAAGGTTGCTTCGGGGCGCTCGTTTCGTTTGCCATTCCCGAAGCTGCTTTCGGACCTCTGTAAACGACTGCGGAAAGAAACGAGGTCAGGCCGGTTGGCTCCCCAAAGTAGCTGTTGGCCACAGGTCCCGGTGGTTTTTGCTGGCCTTTCAACGGGCCGCTTTTGAAACCCGTGTCCCATTAAAACGCTTTGCCCCGCTTTGGGTTCCACCTCAGAGCCCCCGGGCTGACTTTTATGTGTGATTTTGGGTGTTCCAACCCCAAGTCGCAAGTGAAGTTCACCTTGAGCAGCTGGACCCGGGCGCAAAGGCAAGCAACCAACGGCCCCATTGACGACTCACCCCTCTTGCCACTGAGTGAAAGGGGGAGGCAGGCATTGTATCAGGGGCTGTTGGCTTTGTGGTTTGCAACGCGCAGAGCTGATGTTTCTCTTTTTTTGAACAGGTTTCAAATCACTTTTGTGTTTTGTTGTTCTCACCCCATGGGATGTTAAATGCTGCAGCGCAAAGGCGGTGCGACAGGTGGTCAAGGCTGCTTCTTTGCCCCCTTCAAGACATGTCAGACAAATTTCGCCTGCGGTCGAGCATCCAGAAGGTGCCTTGCATTGATACATCTCAATGGGGGTGTGGTTGTGGCCATCTATCTAACCAAATCTGAACATAGTTGTGGTAGTATCTACTCACAGGGCAGAGTCTGTCTTGCACCC